CAGTAAAAAAAGAAGTACAATTATCCGCTGTTTGCTATTAATTAAATTTCCTAATTAATTTGGTATTTTCTGGGGTCATGGTGAATTGATTGTTAAAAACTGATTGCAAGTTGAATAAATTTTTAGTAGGTAGTTTGTCGAAAAAAATGCAAAACAATTGTGTGGCCCACATACTTACAATCTTTTACTCGCAAATTCTTGAAGAAAATGGATTTTAAATAAATATACACCAATTTGCGTGTTAATATTGACATATGACTCATTGAAGATGTGAGATAATGTTACTAGGATGTCTCAAGACAGTTCTGTGTATCCAAATGAATCTGCTTATTAATATTTACGTCCAGATCAATTTAGAAGGTGTGGCCTGTGACTTAAAGAAATCCTATGAATTTGGATCTAAACCAATGGCTTGGGAAATCTGCCTAACTCACTTCAAATAACGATCGCTGTGCCCTGTAGTTTTCCCTACAACACCTGGGGCTGCTCTGGTTGTACAGCTTAATCTACCATTACCTAATGTCTTTATCCGCGGGCAGATCCTCTAAAAATGTTAAGTTTTCTGGGGCTAAATAATCCTAATACTGAGCCAGGTCTACACAATACTGATGGCTCCAAAACTGATACCGTGTCAAGATGTGAAACCTATATCGAAGGTGAATATGCCTCGGTACCCAAACCGAATTATTTACTAATTTCAAATTCATTGGCTACTTGGTGGAAAGTAGGAGCGATAGGAGTTTATGAGTGATCAGCATACATGAACACTTCTTTTTTTGTTTTTCAATTTGGTCAAAACCAGGCACAAAACAAATTCCCTTACGGCCTTCAAATGGATTAGATATCGGAACACTTTTTGGCGTTACATACATGTTTACGTATGTATACAAACATACCAAGGATGAACATACTTAATTACTTTTGTATTTAAAGTACAAGTGTGGTTATTAAATACTCAAACACTTAGTATTTGGAGATGTCTAAATAGTCAAGTAAATAAAAAAAACTTTGGTATTTAAGAATTTGCTATATGCCCAAGTAAAAAATACGCAGGCGCTAAATACTCTGGTCCAAAGTACTCAGGAACTTTGAAGATGCAAAATACTTTCACTAAAGTACTAAGGTATTTAGTATAGATGGCTACATACTTACAAACTAAATACTTTATGATTGAAGAAAAGTTTAAAGAATTAACACCTTACCTTACACTAACCTCAACTTACCTCACCACAACTCACTCCACTTCAAATCAACTCGCCACACTTCAGCTAAACTCACCACATCTGATACGACCACACCCAAATTCCCAAATTAACCAAACCTTTACTCACCACGACCGAACTCAGCACGCCCGTTCTCACCACACATCACTTAAAGTCACCACATCTAAATTTGGGAACTACTTGGAATTCTCGAGACTATTTTCTGAGTAAATAGCAAGATTTTTATCCAGTATTTAGTGCAGCTATAAATATTTTGTATTTTTGTTTTGTTTTAGTAAAGAAAATAAATACTTTTGTTCGCGGTATTAAGTGAAGCCAAAGTCACTAAAAGCTTTGGTATGCGGTAACTAATGCTGCTAAAGTCTCAAAGTATCTACTTCTGTACGCGTTGCTGTGTCAGGTGAATTTAACTAAATACTTTCAGATTAAGTATTTAGCCCTGTGGAAACAAGTAAATACTAGCATACTCGGTATTTAGTAACACCCAAAATACTTAAGTAAATAGTACTTTGGTATTAACGATAACATAAATACCTAAATGCTTATGTACTTAGTATCTAAAACTTAGTTATTACAATTTTTCCCATCATTAAAACATATGTATATACATATTTATATACATATATATTTGTATTCCAAAATTTTCATTAATTAATTGAACTCATTGATTTTTATTATGTTTTCGTTCGCGGTAGGAGCTCGCCCTCAACTGGGCGCCAACAATAATGATTGGCGCTGTTATCGTTCGTGCGCCTGCCCACACCTCATAATTACAGACACTATCATTCACTTCCATAAAAACCGTCGAATTCCTCCAGTGCGTAGAGCCAAGTATGATTTTAACACAACACTCGAGGTAAGAAGTACGTACGCGTATAAAGTCAAGACAACAAATTGGAATTTCAGAATGTGAATTCGGTGAAGAACTTTGCGCGTTTGCTGCGGCTCCATAAACGCTTTGGCTATATGAGCGCTGCTGGGCCACAATGAGCTATTGGCATGCGATTCAAATCAATAAATGTATGCGATACTCATACATATGCTCAAGTGTACATAAACGTACGTATATGGTTGTATGAATGTACATTTGCCATTGGAAATAACTGTAAAGAAAGCTACCAGTAAACATACATAAATGAAAACTCGCATGAATTTTCGCTCTACAAGATTTTTCTTTCTTAATGATTGTTGGAAATGAATGAACTTAATTAATTTCGGAGTTTTTCGTTCGATTTTTAAGTGTGCTTCGACCTAGGGGCATGTGAATGTGCGCATGTGAATATGGGTGCTGCAAGCGCTGGGCTGTGCGTTTTAATGAAGATGATGATTGTTATGTTGATATTAATATGATTTTCTAGTGTTAGCAGCAGTTCTTGGGAATTCGCTGGTTAATTTTGTAGGCGGTGCACAGTGTCTTGTGATTGGTGAAAATGTCATGAAATTATTTACGGTTTTCAAAGTTAATAACAAAGCAACAAGTGTACCAAAGGTAAACACCCAAAAAAAAACTTCTCTTAATTGAAGAAAAACAGCAATCAAAATGAAGAAAAATGGGAATGAAACAGCACTAAAGGAGTTTTATACTCTTTTCATGCCCAACATTTCTTCAAAATGATAGATTACATCCACGGTTCCATATTTTCGTGTACGTTTTTACACATTTCAGAGAAAAATTACGCATTCGGGAGAATTGTTTACTCATTCGGAAGAATTTTCTACCTTAACCCTCAATCGTACTCCCTGAATCCATGGGACTCAACACAAACTTTAAAGCCTTAAAACAAACCCAGCTTTTCACACTCGGCTCCGAACGTTCGTGTACCTTCGTACAGTGTGGCGAAGAACTCAGGATATATCGGACGTTAGCGAGCAACTTATGTAAAGCTTAGATTTTGTTAAGTGTGAGTCCTGAGGACTTATGATGGTGTTTTGTGCTCCATAAATTTTATCCAAGCTTTCATTATTATTTTATATTTTCTATCAGTATTGTTAGAATTTGACGTCCAAATGTAAAAGATGTTAGCGTGTTAACCCCATAAGTGGCTTTGCAGAAAATTTAATAAGAAAATGGCTCGAAGAAGATGAAAATCGAAGTGATTTACAAGACCATCTCTCGGATTGTGCAGGACTTTTTCGTGATTGTATATCTGAAGTATATTCCGACGATGTGGATGCCGATTTTATACCAAGTGAGCATAGCACCGCCACAGAATGCTCCGATAGTGGCAACCAACACGAGAAGCTTACATTTGTGTTTGTAAAAAACCATTTTTGTCTTACTCGTACCAGAAATATATATGGGGAGACGACTAGATCTTCTTTACCATCCTTGATTGAAGTTACTTAGTTCAGTTTGAAAGACGCCCTGAAGTTTTCCCGCAGCCGTAAGGTTTTGAGCAATGGGGACGTGTCCGGCGATAACTCTGGAGGTAATTCAGGGAGTTGAGCATAGAGCAGATCACCCAACCAACTCTTACAAATTTTTCTGGAGAATTCATATTCTCTAGAATATGGGAACAGGGGTAAAGTGAAAGCACCCATAAACGTATTTCATAAAAAAGTAATATGTACTAAAATATGACAACCGGCAAAATAAGCAACCTGGAACTTGTCCTCCTTTGAGAGACTCCGTCAAACCTGCATTACTATACGGACGTCGTGGAATCATATCCAGCTAACCTCACCCCACAAGGGACTGACTTGCAAGAGAGTCAACAGCTAACACTCTAACCTATCCTGAGCTGTGCCTCGCTTTGGGTCTGCATATTATTAACGAAGAGCTCGGGATGGGGTGGAAGACATTGAATGAACGCAGGACATCTGCATAAGCTGGAGAAATTGTTAAAGACCTTCGCTCTTCGCCGTATGCAGATGACATGAAAGGTATCCCCGAAAGCTTTTTTTTCATTTTTTTTTTTGGGATTTAGGCTTAGCAGAATTTTAGTGAATAATAGAAGTCACAATAGATTTTTAGGGCGCGGTGGATACCTCATTTTAATATATACCTATATTTACTCGAAGGATAGCCCTTACTAACTGAAAGGCGTATACAATTTTAGTACTCTCTTCGGGATAGTACCCGAAAGCCGACGGATACCAATCGCGTATAGAGTCCACCCGGAATATAGTGGACTCCTTTTGTTATATGCATATAAAAAGAATGTATATAAATAAAATAAAATAGGTTTAAAGCCCTATATAAAGTGAAATTTTCATACAAATTTTCGATTTATAAAGCAGTTATAGCCTTCTTCTTTATGAATTTGTGTTTTACAATACATGTGCTAAGTAAGGATGTGTCCCATATCGGCAAAGTCGTTCGGAAAATTAAAATACAATCTTTGCCCACTGTAACATCACAAGGGACTATTCATAGTTTCCACTGTGGCCTCTTAGCCCCTGCTAATAGTCGTTCGGGAAACTTCTGGTGTTTATTAATATGAGTCGCAGCATATTTATTTAAATTTATTGAAATGAGCGGTTGAAGCATTTGTTAGAATTAAAAACATACATACATGCTAAGTACTCGATGATAGTTTCCAAATCTTTTGTGATAAAATTGATTACGCATAAATTTTAATTTACGTTCATTTAAGATGTGTCGACTTACGTTTTTGGTCTGTGTCCTTGTCAAAATAGGTTAAAATGACATTTTTCATTTACAATTATAAAATAAAACTGCATACATAGATATGCGAGTAGTATTTAAGAGCTAGATAAAGTCAACCCCTGAATAATTTACTCACGTCCTTCCCTTCTTCTCGTCTCTCTTTTCAGTGCACACATCCGGAGAGCAAGCAGGCAGCAAATGTCACTATTATCAGTTGCATCAAATGCGGTGCGGTAGAATGGAGGACACACTGATGAACGTGTGGTAGAGCAAGATGCAAGTGAATGACGCCGCCGAGGCTTCAGCAGTAGTCAGTCGAAGGCCGTTGACGCGTGTGGCGGTGTCCGTAGCAGCAGCTGCAGTGAATGTATAGTGGCGTGCAATAAAGAGAATAAGATCAGCGCGCGACTATGCGACTCGTTAAATGATATTAAGTTTTAAGACGCTCCAAAGGACCTTTTAGACTGTCGCATAAGCGAAGGCGTTATACTAAAAAAACAACAACATCAACACGCATACAAACAAAAATTTACGCGCTGAACGTGTCGGAAAAGTGACAACTTAAGTAAATACATAATTTTATTATTATTTTTATTATTATTGCGACATAGCTGTCGTAAGCGAATATCTTCGTCGAAAGTATTAAGAAAAGTGCAAAATTGAATGATATGATGCCGCGCGTGTGTCGCCGCTGTTTGTGCAAATGTTGGGAAAACAAAGTCTGAGATGTGAGCGCCGAGCAGGTCACTCGACAAGTGAGAGTGCATCTTCATGCCGTTTAGGGCCAGGCAACACATTCATGCCACATGCTACCAAAAACAAGAATGTAGTAAAATTTTATGTGTATACGCGCTTTTGCAAAACCTAATGAGCGTTCACATTAATGCCGGCTACAACGAGCGCTCCCGCCATTAAGAAGTAAAAAAAAAATAGCTAAGCGCTAAATCGTGTGAGAACAGAATTATAAAAACAGCTGAAAGTGTTATACCAAAGCAGCATTGCCAAATGAAAGGTTTTTCGCAGTGCGCCTAGGAAACATTTCGTCTTCCTGAATGTGTATGAGGCTAAGTGAAATTGCAGCAATTTTAACGGTACAAATGTGTGTTCGTGTGTTAGCTGCCAAATTGATTTAAACTGCCACTTATGTATAAAAAGTGAAAAAGAAAAAAGAAGGAAGGATATCCTTAATGGATTGACGCGAAAAGCAGTTAGCCCTTAACAGTGGAAAAATATATATATATGTATATAAAAATTACAAGCAGTAACAACAAAAAAAATCAACAACGCCCCTTAACGCGTGTTCGACAAACACAAACGGTAAATGAAAGTATTTTCGCGGAAATTGCATGCCGTGCAACATTGACCACCAACGTCCATTAAAAGTTGCTCCTGTTTGTATAGTTTTGTGTATTTTAGCAGCTAAATGACGCCTATTGGCGGCTGATAGTGCAGCCACGCTGAAAAGCGCACGAAAAAAAGGTATTGAAACATAAAAAATTCAAGCATAGAATTGTAAAGTAAGAAATAAAAAAATAATAATATTAAACAAAACTTTCGTATAAGTGCAACAAGCGGCATCCAAATATAAAATTCAAGTGCATATCTACCGATTTGTACGCTTGTGTGTGTACACGCGCTCCGCCAAACCCGCCTTCAACAACAATTACGCGCGCGTTAATTAGTCCCATTTCGACATTTTGTAGCGCGTTAATTGCCGCATACACGCCAAATTCGCACATCAACGATACGTTGCCCTCGGCGTCAGAACACCCAAGGCACCTGCCCGTTTGGCGCAGCACTGTGTAATATTTTTCCGTTCTCTTCACACTAACTCCATTCACAATGGCCGTCAGCAATATCGTGTGCGAGTGGCTTCGCGCCCTTGGCTTGGCTCAGTATGCTGAGAGTTTTCTGGATAATGGCTATGATGATTTGGAGATTTGCAAACAGGTCGGCGATCCCGATTTGGATGCCATTGGCGTTGAAAATCCGGTACATCGGCATAAGTTGTTGAAGAGCATACGGCAGTTGCGTGAGAAAGGTGCCGCTTCTGTATATTTTATGTTGAATGATCCGAGCTCGTTATCGGGCAGCATGGAGATTTTGTGTGAAACCCCACCCACCGAGCTGGATATGGTACTACGAGAGCAGCTGGAAACCGATGGCATACGTTTAACCGCACATCCATACTCAACACCGGTAAGTACCTCATGGAATAAATTAGTAAAAAGACATTTTCAACTAGGCCGATTAGAATATCAAATTCCGATCTTTTACGTTTTCCGTTAGGCCTTTAACATTTATCTTGACACTAGTCGTAGACTTGCCCATTATGATACAATACGTAGGTTATATCACAATGAATGGCCCTTAATAACACCAAGAGGAAATAGCTACATACATTTGTCTTAAGCACGGATCACACAATTTGTACATTTGAACAGATTTGTTCATTTTGGCAGTCACGGAGTGGTGTTGTGTAGAAATAGTGAGTTCAGCTCAATAACAACTTTCCAAACAACACTGTAATGGTAACTGAATAGTACCCATTAACCTACCCACTAATGCCTGGCAATGCCATTGATGAGCAGCACTGCAATACGATATTGCATTGTCAGTACAAGTGACAGCTGGTCTGTTCGATCACAGCCAAGATCTGTGAACGAACAGAACAACCATCTTGACATTCATATTCGTGCTTTCAACCCTCGCGCTTGTGCTAAATTAACAGAAAAGTTTAAAGTTTTTTAATTTGATAAAATAAACGTTTCTAAGCCGTAAGTGGCTTCAAATGAAGCATCTGCGTATATTTATTGGTTATACACTCAACGAAAGGGGTAAGCTGCACTTTTATGTACAACAGAGGTTGTTACACCAGCCGGGTGTTTTACACCAACGTACCAGCGCGAAATACATAAAAAGTACGCCGGCGAGGCGTTCATCATCATTTTCTTCATCCCGTAAGTTAATTCTATTACAACACCATTCAGTAACTGTGAAATTGTACTAATCTGTACTAATGTACAAAACGTGTGATCCCTTCTTTAGAGTGGAAACATTTTTAAATCCCTACGCCTATTGTCTGAAAAGATAACTATACAGGGAAGCTGTTAGTTATCATTGACTAGATCCCGGGCTCGATATGAGGCCAGACTATTATTTAATTTTCAGTTAATTCTTATTTTTCCTGTATGGTTCTGAAACCGCTTGCCTGCTTGGACCAAGACTAAAAAACTACATCAATCGCCTCTGTCGCATATGCAGTTTTACGCCATTTATACTTTTTTTCCTATTTTATTAGGTAGTTCTTTCTCTGTGTATAAATGCGCTCTTCCATTCTTTCTCAAGGTTTACTCGGCGTTAGGTTAAGATTGCTTCAACCTCGGTCGGAAATATTGTGAACCATACGCTCATTCCAATTGAAAATTTATTGTCGCGCCGATCCATATTTGACCAGTCTATCCATCACTTTTAATTTATATGAGGAAATGCGTTCTAAGATTTTTTTTCTAAATATGCAGAATATACCATTTCCGAACATCATTTGCGGAAGCCAAACCTTTGGAGCTGTTTAGATCATGATGTAGAAGTAATTTTGTTGTGTTTTGGCTACCAAGCTACGTAAGCGTAGGCCACAATTGGACGAACGATCATTCAAAACAAAACTACTGTATCATTTAAAAATTCAAATACCACGTACGGTCAAAAAGTTTTCTACTCAAGGCCGTAGCCTCAAGTAGGTATATACGTATATGTGTAGATCTTCTTGTTATTTGCCATTATAGCCGTTTGTTGATTTTGGCTAAGACCAAAAAGCTTCGCCAATTGCCTCTCTCTTTTGCGAATTTGCGTCAGTTCGTCATTCAAAGTGCCGTCAGATCTTTCTGCACTTGGACCTTACATTTTGTTCTTGAGTGCCCTTGCTTTCGTTTTCCACGCATGGGTGCGGAGTCGAAGGATCTTTTCATCGGAGCGTCATCATCTATGCATACAGCATGTCCAAGCCAGCGCAATAGTTGTATTTTTATGCGTTTAACCCTCAAACCGGCAACTTTGAAATAGTGATCAGAAATGGTTGGGAATTTTTTTCTGGCATAACTTGGGCATGATAAACTCAATGTTGTCATCTATATACCATTTTGTCGCTTCGTTTGACTTCCAGGTGAGATAAACGAAACAGTGCCTCCAGGCACTCATATCGGTTAAAGCAAAATATATGAACAGATAGAAATTTTATTAAGTACCAACGGTTTTATTCCAAAAAGTTTAGCAGTGCAAAGGAATCTAGAAAAATGTGTTACTTTTTTGAGTGCTATTCCAAAAAGCAATTTTTTGTCGCAGATCAAAAAATATAAATTGCATACTTCGCAAATACATTGAGTTTGCGACTTTTTACAAAATTTGCACCATTCTTTCCACTTTCTCGAGCCATTTAGGAAGTTGATTGTTACCATTGAAACGAACGTCATCAACATGATATACAGATTTTCTGCCAACACTCAGAGCAGCAGGTTGCGATTCATCTTGTGGAGTAGAAGGTTGACTTGTTGAAGATGGGCCACCAACCGAACGCGTTTGAGTGTAGCTCACAAGACCAGCATAACGGATAAAAAAGGCGGTCATTGCGTCCATCCCCATCTCGGAACGACGGGAATCTTTTTATGACTTCAAACCGTTTCAATGGCATCGTTTTGCGAATGGGTTCGAATGCATTCTTCATTAACTACCTCTCTAAATTCGGGGAGCGATAAACCGACATGTATAAATGAATGCCAATGTACTGGCAGATATCATCGACATTCACATTGAATCTCAAGTTTATATCCTGATTAAGTTAGAGCATACCGCTTCGTCTCTTAAACAATCATTTCAATTATTTCTTTAGGGAAAAAATATATAGATATTATTGCACCGGTCTTGAGAGCATTTTTGTGTGCTCAGGTAAGCCACGAAATGCCACCTCATTTATATGAAGTTTAAGGTTTGTTTTGCGCCAGATGACTTTGCTGAGTTCAGCAGAATCTCTGTTTATTGATTCAATGTCAGCAATAAAAAATCCATACGATCAGTACGTAAAATCAATTTTCCAAAGATGTGAGAGAACCTCTTACTTCCAATCAAACCATCATTGGTTGGTACAACTGCTGGATCTGTAGCTTCGGCTATACTACTACTTAGTCTCCACAGAATCCATAAATTCAAGAATTTCTTCGGCTGATAACTTCGACAATTTCTCACGCGACATCATGTAACGATTTGCATATATAGTTATTTAGACACTTTATGAAAAACAGGTGAACAATTTATAAAAAGTATTTGCCTTACCGGTAAAAATCACCATAACTAAAACGCAAAGGAAAAATGCGACGCGTAAAAAAAATCGCGCCGAACGACAAGAGTGCCTTGAGGCACACTTAGATTTTTTGCTATAGAACATAAAATCCAACTATTTTCAACACCGTAGATATAAAATCGTGAAGCTTATGACTAAAACTTTACGGGAATAAAATTCTTGAGTTAAAAGAACTTCTCCAAAATAAAAATTTTCGATGCTGAAAATCAGAAATTTTTTAATACGTAAACACGACCTTCTCCTCCACCTGTTCGCAAAAAACGGATTACAGAGGACTAACGGCCTGTCGGATTACATTCTAATTTGAGAAAGAAATGTCAGCAAACATATGATCAAGAGCGTTGAACTCACTTGCGTAATGAAAAATTACATTTTCATATGCAAAAGGTGATTTTTGTGATCCTTGCCTTGAGGCACTCTTACCGGTTAGAGGGCTAAATAAGTCCATATCGTTAAAAAGCTCGCACATTTCGTTATTCCATCTTCTTCGGTAATCGTCGCCCACATGAATAGGCCCATAGATCTTGCGTGAAATAGTTCTCTCGAAAGCCCCCAAAGCCGTGATATCTTTGTTAGATATCGGCTTCGCTTCTGCGCCATATAAAAATACAGGCTTAATGAGAGATTTGTAGAGCGTGATTTTTGTTCGTAGAGAGAGGGCTCTGCCTACCGAGCCCAAAGTAGTAAGTAGATCTTATCCTAAATAAATCCAAGGAAATATTTTCTATTCTTTACCTTATTATTTGGTTTGTTTATCGGTGATAGACCAAACAAAAAAAATCGCCAACGGCACGTGTCTTCAGAGAGTTAGTATAGTTCATCTTACCATCTTCCGCGGCTTCCGCCTTAAAGGATCAGTGAGCGCGCGGGTACTAGGAATATAGTCGGAATTTTGAGATTACCTGTTGTTTGCATTTATTTATTGGGTGACTTCATTGAAAGGTTAAGGTTATGCTCTAGATGGTGTGGTCACCTGTGCAACGAGTATTACATAGAATGTATTCAGAGTGTGGAAGCTAATAGCTGCCATAAAGATGCCACCTCTACATGAGTTCATGAAGAGCCCATTACTTGATTCCGAGCGGTACCTTACTACCAAGCGAAAAAATACTCGGGGAGTGCAGTTTATAAGGAGTTATGCATCTATCATATTCATTCAATAATTTCAGCGAGTAGACATTTGAAAAAGCGCATATATGTATGTACATAAAGTAAAATTCTTATATGCCACCAAAGTTTAAAAGAATTCGAAAGTCGGACAGAGTAATTGCATAGTTTCAGGCAGTTTTTGTAAAAGACCCTCACTCTTTATTTCTTGCCTGGAGGTACCTCGAATTTCGTCACTGATGCTGCAATAGTGCCTTAGTTCTAAGGCCGACTACGTCAATGATTATTATGTACTAGACGGATGATTGAATTTACCTGATGCTGCTGGTGCCAAGATGTAAAAATTATTATGGATCTCACTACAGCAATACGATAGCGCCTAGTATTTAAAACCACCCACCAACAAAACAAGTATCTGACGATAGTACCACACGGATCGCGACTTTTACGATAGAAGATTTCCCTTGGAAAGCCAAGTGAGTAGCGGATCCCAGCCAACCTCAAATTAAATTACCGTTAACAGCATTTTCTCAGGATACCGGGCCACAAACCAAAAAATACAAACTTAAGGCAACGTCAGATCCTTTCGAGAAGGCCAGAACTAACGAGGAGAGATTCTTCGCTATCCTTACTGGAAGTGTGTAAGGTTAGCGGGGACACCACAAAGAGACGTTATCCGAATAGCATGACTTTGCTTAAATTGTATCTATGTAACTATATATAATTACATACTTATCTA